TGATATTTGTATGAAAAATGTAAAAGTATGTTGTTTTGGCCTTTTTTTATTTCTCGTTGCAAAAAAATTCAAACATACAAAACAAATGTGAATGAATATTGAACACAATGAATACGACTGCAAAAAAAAAGGAGAAAGAAGTAACTTAAGACAAAATGAAACAAAGAAGAGACTACTAGACCAATGGACATTGAACACTGAATCATTGAACGATGTAATGAATGAAAACAACACAAAATTACAAATTTGAATAAGATTTTTGTTTTAATTATACTAATTATTGTCATCCATTAAAGATTCTTTTTTTTAAAAAAAATGCATATAAACAAATGTCTTTATGATAATATTTGTGTAATATACATCTAAGAGAAAAAATGCGTATACACATACATATATACATATGTATATTCCACGACAAAAATGTGTACGTCTATATATGTAAAAGAATTCATATACATGAATTTGTTTCAGTTAATACATGATGATATGTTATGCGAAATATGAAAGTACGTAAGCGAAAGACGACTGAATGTTTTGATTGCAAAATAGAAAAAAGAAAAAGAAAACTTTGTACATTGACATGAAATATGTGACATTTTGGTAACAAGTAACAATGATAAAGAAAACAAAGAAGGTGTAATTTATTGTACACAGATTCAGTATTATAAAATGATATTATTATTATTATTGTTATTATGATTACTGAGTAAGAATTAAATAATTTGTCCAGTTTTTAACTGAAACAGAATAGTAAGTGAAACTGGTTTTAAGGGAAGCTGGTCCATTGGAATTCTGAAAAGGATATTTACGGGTTGATTCAGTATGCTTACTCACTAACTAACTAACTATCTAACTAACTACCTAACTAACTAACTAACCAACTAACTAACTAACTAACTTACTTACTTACTTACTTACTTACTTACTTACTTACTTACTTACTTCGCCACTTACTTACTTACTTACTTACTTACTTACTTACCTACTTACTTACTTACTTACTTACTTACTTACTTACTTACTTACTTCGCCACTTACTTACTTACTTACTTACTTACTTACTTACTTACTCAAGCCTGTAACCCATAAAGGAGCATAGGCATTCTTCAACAAACTGCCTCCTGAGCCTTCCTTTTCAGTTCTACTCAATGGCTGTTCATTCTTTACATGTGTGATTTCAATTCTCGGCGTTATATGTTCTTTGGTGTTAAGGATTACAAGTTACGATTCAGTATGTTTATTATGGAGAAATAAATAGGCATGATTAGTTCTTTGTGTACACCTAATAATTGATACGAAATTAGCTAAAAACGACGAATCTTGACCAAATGAATAACATTATGGGTCAATATTTTCAATGCTGCCTTCATTAAGAATGTTCAGTGTTTTTATAACGTAGATTCCTTATTTCTTGAATATTAACAACAACGTTTACTATGATACAAATTTATATATCTGCTCTCTTTAACATTTACATCCATATTCTCTAAGCTGCCTTCAACTACCTGACAAAATGGACACTACAATGTATCAGTCAGTCATTTATCTTTAGGTCTAAATGAAACAAATTGATATACAAAGTCTGAGCTTCAATAAAATCGGTAAAATGAACTGTATTGATAATCGAAAAATAAAATTATTACAATGGTAAAGCCTTGGGCTTCTGAATCTGTGCCAGTTGAAATGTGTTTGACAAGAAACACAAGTTTTCAGTATAAAATTTCTACGATTTATAAGTGTATCTTCTAATTTAGAAGCTTTAAAACAACAGTTAGAACAAACAAACTAATGACGTATTTCAATAAAACAATTTAAAAACGTAAACGAAAACTAAGGCGATGTGAAACAATTTGAAGTTAAGAAGTTGGCAATCTAGTGGCAAAATAATATAAAATATTATTTCATCTGGTGATAATGATGATTCACAAGCCAAGGAAATTTTTCGATTGAGTTTTAAACTACTGAAAACATTAGAAACTAGTATGTAATGTTAATAAACAAATCTGTAACTAAAACGCACAACACATTTACTAGTGATCACAGCCATGAAATGCCATCGAAAAGTAGAACAAAAACCAATCCAGTTCTTCGTTTCTGCTTGAAAAAAAATGCGAATAATTTTAGAAATATCCTAATGAACACCATTTTACATGATACCAGGAATAAATGCGTTTGAGCAATAAAAAACGCGAAAATTCATACCATTTAGTTTCTCAATCACTTACTATTATTTCAGACGACAGAATTCAATTGTATTTAGCCATTATTTCATTTGACTTTCTACTGATAACCATCGCCAATATTGGAATTGTGCTGTATAACCATGATGTATTTTGTTCTTTCTCGTTTTGAGACTTGAGAGAATCCCACTTTACTTTGTAACGGAAATCTGGTTCTGTGACATGATTAAAGAATTTCTACTACATTCACTTTAGTATTTTGCTGAGAAACAACATAAAGATATTCGTGATAAGTGAACTCCAGCTATTATTTTGACAGGCCGAGAATATAATCCAGCTAATATATTTATTGAGATTATTGACCAACAGCTAGTGAGACTCTTGAAGTACCGAACGACGCTGGACCAAAGTTGTTGGGTTTGATCACTTGTCTTACAGTCATGAATATGCACTACTGAGAAGTCCTATACCAGGGCGAAACAGTCGTTCACTGGTTCCACGTTTTCAATAACTGCTCAACTTTAATCGGTTAATGATTTCAGTGAAGTTCAATTATCTCCACAACACGATACTGATAATCTGTTTGAATTTTTTGAAACAATGTCTTTCAAAGCATATCAAATCTAAAGAAAACCCAGATAATTCGAGTGTCATAAAGCTTAACTCGGTACTTGTGAAATTAAGGTTTTTGTTGACTTGTTTACTTGAAATCTCAAAAAATCATGGACGAAAAAAGGGGTAAGATCGAACGATTGAAGCGTTATCTACAAGTTTCTATTGAATATTCCCATTTCTGCTACTGTAACTTATCTCTATAATGACTATTCACTTCCTTTTCCATTTAAAAAAAAAAACAGAATGTGAACTTTGTACCGAGATCAATGAGTCTTTTTTAAAAAATACCATAAAGTAAGTGTTATACTGTGTCTATCTCTTCAACATTTCCACAGTGATATTGATTTATCAGTGATATGGTGTTAAAAATCACAGAAATCATTTTTAGTGCTATGTCAAAATTATATATCATCTTGTCAAATTTTAATGAAAGACTAATACAATTTATAGCTGAGATCAATACTAGTAAACTCTCTTGCAGAACAACCCAATTATATGTTGCGTTAACTTAACTGAATATCATTACGTAACCTTGCAAAATAGTTTGTTCCTTCTTTATATCAATAAATTTACAGATCTGTCTAGATATTCAACTCTAACAATGCAGATGTTAAAACCTAACGACTCTCTACTATGAATATATATCTTTAGTAGTCCAGCTGTGATAGAAAAGGTATCTGTGACATCTAAAAGTCTATCCCTATAGGAATCTTTAGCACTTTGACACTTTTCTGTACGCACTGTTAGCGCATTCTCCTTTTCATATTGTAATGGTTTTTTTTCAAAATACACCCTAAGAAAGTCCGCAAATTAAAAAATGTAATGAAAACTCAACTCTCCTTATTTAGCTGGTAAGTTCGCAAGTAATCTAGGTCGAGAACCTATCGCTAAAAATGTAACGAAACTCTTATGTTTAAAGTGATTTTAAAAAAGTTCATAAGTTCTCAAGGCTTATAATTCCTTTCATTATCCTAAAGCTTCATATTCTTGCTACAGTAATGCATTCATTCTAAAGTAAACTGGTATGTAATCATAATATTTCACAAGAACACTCTTCAAATGACGTTTTGTGAACAATGTAAAAGATATTCTTGAATATTATACGCAATCCTTACCATATATTTGCAACTAGTATCTAATTTGTCACTAAAGACATATATTTATTACAACTTTATTGTGAATAAAACAAAAAAATGTGAACTTTTATAATATATAATGTTTTCATTGGAACCTATTTCAGATCAAGTAACTTTCCATGTGATTTTTCCGAAGTCATTTTCACCACTTTCCCTAATTTTTTTTGAATGATTTTATACTATTTATATTTTGTAAGTAGACATGAAGCATTGAAATAAATATACCACCATCTGATGAGCACAAATTTCACGAAATTTCCAATGATATGCTACCTAGTAGACGGAATTGCAACCTACATGTAATCGAAAGAAAAAGCTATTTTCTCCATGGATTTATACAGTTAACATCTTATATTCTAAATAAATGTGTACAAAATACATTAAAAGAGTTGTCATTTTGGCTGATCACAGAATAGGAATTTTTAATTCTGTCACTTTTCAAAGATCTCTTAGAAATATCTCCATAAACTGTTTTATATGCATTGACTTCTTTTTAATTGGCAGTACCTCAGATATATGTGGTGTGCTAAATCAAAACCCGAAAAATTCGGATTGTTTCACAAGCTTTCTGTACAAGATATTACTCAAGTAGTGGTTTGTAGGATATCTTTTGTTTCATAATGAAGAGTAAAGTAGATCAGCTTATTCAGTTCTGTATTTATTTTAATGCACATTAATTAAATTACTAATACAGAGAAATGCTACAATTCCCTTATGGCACAAAGAGAAATATGCAATATATGCCAGTGCATATACATTCTATTCAAACAATTATCCACAGATCAAAATCATATGCCCTTCTCAGCCATGGCATCTCATTGTCATCTCACAACGAATCATCATGAAATAACAACACAACCGGCGATCTTGTGATACAATTCAGCATAAGATTATGACTCACACATACACTCTGCAATGTGTCAACACCAGATGCATTGAATCATCTAAGGCATTACAACATTATCATGTGAGTTATATGTATTTAACAAAACAAACTACCCAACCAAATGTAAAAAACAAAATAAAGCCAAATTTATTTATAAACTATCATTTGACATGTATTGATAATAAGTAATTCATGTTTGTATAAATGTGTGTGTGTGTGTGTGTGTGTAGGTGCGTATTGTATAATAATGAAATAAACTGGAATAATCAATATGATACATATGCTGCATTGAAAATGAAAATCTGAAGTGTTTTTTTATGTACATTTTTGATATATAAATATCTATATAGAATTAATCAAAATTACGATACATTTTAGGTACATAATTATAAAAGCACATTTTAAACTCTGGAATACAACGACATCGATGATATTTCTTGACTTCTTCACTACCAGATGGAATCAAATTCATATGATGCCATTCTCTACAGCCTAAATTTATGCATAAACTAAAACATTCTTTTGGTGTTGGTACAACACACATATAATTCCCAGTAGCTAATTGTAGAGAAAGAGAGAGAGAGAGAAATAAATAAAAATAAATAAATAAAAATAAAATTTATTTTTTAAGAAAAAGTGTTTTTTAATTTTTAAAAAAATATATCATAACATTTTGTTGAGAATGTTATATCCCTAGAACTCACTTGATAAAGGTCATAGTTTCGGATTTTGTGTTTTCGCGCATGGGCTGATCAGTTGACCTTGAGATCACATGTCCCACCATGAAACTCCTTGGCTGTGATTGGTCGATGAGTTATTTTAGGACGCTATTTCTGTGACTATCTCAACGACCTTTCTATCATGTATAAATAAACGCGATTCGTGTGATCGAGCTCATTGTGTTTGCTGGCTGGGTGGTTGTAGAATACACTTTCTACGCTATATCGAGACTTTTTTGTCAGTTAGTTTGGAGCGATGGATCAGAGTAGCCTACCGTGTCACTGGTTCATCGTCTCGTTTATCGACTAAGGTGAAGTCGTAATAGTTTCAAACATATCAAGTGATGACCATAACACATTTAATGAGTTGATACAAAACAGTATGCTATTTTTTCAATTCGAATAAACTTTTACTAGTTAGATCAGGTATCAATAAGTAATATATACTTATCAATGAATGGTAGAATTTATCATCCGAATATATACAGACCAATTCTCTATTTTTGGGGAAAAAATTTACTATCATAACAATGAATTAACTAATAGTAACTCTATTCAGAAATGAATTTGGTTTTTTTACAAAATTCTAATATAAAATTATAATCGATGAATTATAATAAATTTTATCATTCATTGAAGACAGTTTACCATCACTGAAATGATTAAAATAATGTCCATAGTGTATTTTGTATCAGTGAGAGAGAGGAACAGATGACTTTTAGTTTTACGGAGAGATATTTCAAACTAATGATTTCTGATATTTATAGATCTCCTAGTCTTGCCTAGTTCATTTCAAGTATTATTGAGTAAATAGTAAAGAGGTGATTCTTGTACTTTGTTTATATCAATACCACTGGTTTTGATAATTGTCGGGTTTGTATGAGCTAAGAACAACTGAACATGGCTTGTTTACATACGTGTTCATCCTATTCGTTTTCATGTAAGCCTCTTGAATATTTTGATGACTCTGATATAGTTGCTAATTAATATGCTTGAAACTATTACGAATTCACCTTACTCGGTAAACAAGAGTGAAGACAAATGAGGCAGTGACACGATAGGCTATTCTAAACCGTTTGTCCCAAGCGCTGCTAACTATATCAAGAAGTCTTGATATGGCGTAGAAAGTGTATTCTACAAGCACCCAGAAAATATGTGGTTGACAAGCACACAAATCGAATTTATTTATACATGATAGAAACGTCGTTGTGAGAGCCACAAAAATAGCGTACTAAAATAATACATCAAAAAATGACAGTCAAGGATTTTCCTGAGTGGGAAATGTAATCTCAAGGTCAACTGATCAGTCCATGCGCGAAAACACAAAGAGCAAAATTACGACCTATTTCAAGTAAGTTCTGGGATCTAACGTCCTCAACATACTCATCCATTTTCCTAGGTATTTGCATTTTAATCCTATTCGCTAATTCGCTAACTCGCTCATTCGATTCCCTACTTTTTGGCACTGGAGTATTGATTTTCGATCTGTGTGCCTGTGGTCTGGTGGTCTTTCGTGGTGCGACAAATAAACGTATTCAGTATTTTGATTTATAAACCGTGGGGCGTTATTTAGTAACGGTTATCTGGACGAGCAGCATACGAGGTCTAAGAACAAATCGAATACCGACCGCCACGAAACTAGTGAGGCAACGGCTACCACAAATTATATCATCATCAACATTGTTGACTGAATGTTAATCAGTTATATTCGGCATATATGTGTGCTATGCTGATTGCTTTGATGTGATTATTTTATTACAGATTTTACAGAAGAGAAAGTATTGGGTATCTAGCTCGAGTCCCCATATAAACATTAACATGGATGTAGGTATTCTCAGTTTTATGTGCTTAAAATCAAGTAAATTACTCTCATATTCCAATCATACTATTCCAAATCATACTCTTCTCCACTTTCAAACAGTTCATAGTTGTACATAATCTACATATGCAATAGTAATCTTCAGAGAATAAAAATGAACAATTTCAGATTAACCGATTAACGTCCATATTTAATATATCCAGGCACTGTTAGAATTATTCTTTCTCATTGTATGATTATAGAGATTAAGGCATATCCACAACCCCGGCACTACTTATGAGTCCCATACCAGAATGAAACGTCTGTCTGGTGGTTCCAGGTTTCTAATCTTGGTCTAACGTTGATCGATTCATGATTTCAATGAAAATCATTCATGTCATCTTATTAATTTTAACGTATGAAGAATTGGTTTAAGGTAAGATTAATTTTTCAAAAATTCTCTTCGTACTGACATCTAATTAACCCGTATATAAATAACATGTTTAAGGTGGTTAACATTTTTTTTCGTACAAAACTGGTTACTACTATGAGTAGTACAGTTTTTTACACCTATATTTTATACGATATATTATATTACCTAGTACAATAGTCAATATATAACATAATTCATGAATAAATTGAATTCATTCTCTTTTTATGTATTATTTCATTATACATTTTTAAAGTCAATATTATAACCAGAGAAGATGCTCGCTTTAAGAAAGTAAAAATATTCATTGATTCATCATGATAAGATGGTGTATCTTGTTTCACATCGAATTGTGCTACTTTTACATGGCGTGATACACCTACGCACTGTGCAATAAATAGTTTAAGGTCAGACTAGAATGTGTGGTTCACTCGCCATTGAAACTAAGTTCACTCTCACTCTCTCTCTCTCTGCTCTTATCATGTGACTGGATTATCGTACGATTATTTCGTTAAGAAAACAAATTCTACGCTAAATTTAGTTTAATCTATTGTCCCATAGCATAGATTTAACATGTTTACTAATTTTTAATGTAGGAGGTATTACATGGACCAGTGGTGCAATGACCTTGATGCTTGTGTGAAGGTTACTTTTCTGTAAAATATAATCTGACGATAATTATAAACGAAAATGACGTGATAAATTCAAAATTTAGTTAACAAAGACTATAGTTAAACAATGGGAATATCATCTTAAAAAATTTTTGAACACAATAATTATTTTGCTAAATTAAGAATATCTGTAGTGACCCGAAAAATTTTTCAAAAGGTTTAAGAGATGGAGTTTCACGTGGTTGAGATTATTATTGTCATAATGAAACGACTACGTTGAAGAAACTGAGACATTTGAAATAATTTTAGGGATTTAAAACAATGATAAGTTAGAAAATTTGATAGAATACTCCAACACAAATCAAATCAACATACTAGTATGACATATCTTACACTATGGATAATAACGAAGTAATGAAGAATGTTTTTCAGACCGAAATCTAAGTTGGACCACTATTAGAAACCTGGAAGCACTGGAAGGCTGTCTCGTCCTGGTATGGGACTCATCGGCAGTGCGCAACCCCGACTCCTGCTCCCCGCAGGATTCGAACCCGTATTGTGCGCGAACGCCTAACCATTGGACCACTGGGCTGGCATCCAACGGTGTTCATGTATAACTGATCAATCGAGAGATTTTGCACGACCTCACCCATTTGTCTTTGGTAGGTAGTTAATGCCTACAACCGACAGGGTTGAACTCTACTGATCGCGTCTTCTCACTATGCATTTGGCACTTATCATCATGATCCTACATACATTTTAATGTTTTAAAAGGATTTTTTAATTGTACTATCAACTTTATTTGCATTTATTCACCAAATTACAGCTATTGTTAACGTAACACACGTACACACGCACACATTTTATTTTATAGTGCGAATTTTGCTAAATCATTCATATCTTAAATTGTTGTATTTTCTTATTTAACAAAAACCAACATTTGATTACTAATGAATAAGCTTTTAGTGTTATTTAAACAATTTTCGATAATTTTGTTTTCTTATAATTTTCATGGAATTATGATTCAATTTACATAGTAAGATCGAATCACTTTCAAACTACTTTTTTTAATTAGTAATTATGAGAATAATAATCACTGTTTTTTTCAAGATAAATTTCATACAGTTTTAATTAAATAAAATGAATTATTTTCTATTTATTTACTTATCTATCTGTTTGTCTATATTCATATATATTGATCAAAGTAAGGCATCAACACCGTTGGATGCCGGCTCAGTGACCCATAGGTTTAGCATTCAACCGCAAGTCTAAAGGCCCAAAGTTTGTATACTGCAGGCAGTAGGGCTTGTGGATGCCCATTGCTGAAGGGTCCCAAACCAGGACGAAATGGTCGTCCGGTGTTTCCAAGTTTCTGATGGTGGTCTAACAATGATTCATTTATGTGATTTCAATATATATATATATATATATATATATATATATATATATATATATATATATACCTAATTTACATAAACTATATCGATAATTCATCAGTTATTGAAATTTTCTTATTTTCTATTTGTTTATAATATTTGAAATAAGTTCAGTCTAGTCTAATTAGAAGAATGAACTTTGACATTAATCATTATAATAATAATAATAGTGACATTCATGGTGTCATTTTATCGGTTCAAATAATTTCAAATAGGCATTCAATAGAGGGTGTGTCCAACGGTAAATGAATGTTGTTTACTATACTGTAAGATATTCATATGTGTTAATGTGTAGGTGGAAATAGTCGGATGATTATATTTTCGCTGTAATCATTTCTGCTCTATGTGTGTAGGTGTGTTTGTTTATGTGTGTGCATACACAACAACGGCCATATTATGTTTTATTACAAATAAATATATATTCACTAATATGCATTGTTAAATGATTAGTGCTAGACAATGATGATCACGCCATTTTTTAATGAAAATGTTTTATATAATAAAGAAATTAAGGTTAATCCAAAAAGGGAGGGAATATCTGGAACATTTCAAGGTGAACTGTTTGTATGATTGAGAAAAAACAAACAGTTCACTGGAAATTATTAAATATTCAATGATGGTATTACTTGTTGACTTATTTAGTTAGAGTAGTCAGTATATTTATAAGTGAAGAATAGAAATGTAGATTTGTCATTTATTGTGACTAATTTTATTTTTGCTATCAACAGTGTTGATTTATTTAACTGAAATATATCATTGACTTGTCTCTTGAATTCTATTTCACATTGTAATGTATTACGAATCTCATCGAAGGTTTATAAATTAGTAATGACATTGTGGTGCGTGCTACTTATAAGTAGTATATGACGCGAGTAAAAACGTAATGTCTGGAAGCAGAAGATGGGGGAAGATCAAGAGAAAGGAAGAAGAGTGGGAACACAATGGAATTTGTATGAAACGCATGAATAGTGAGTGAAATGTCAGACAATGGATTGATGATGGATTGATATTTTGCAAATTAACGATATACGATATGGTTTTCCTATTTTACCAATTAACTCTAGAATTTTCGTTAAATACAATTCGGTTGCCCTCACCTGTGTTCTCCTTCACTACAGCATGATATAACAGAATGAATATTGAGGGATTTGAAACTCTAGAGAACTATTTTTTGTGGATCTATTACCTATATATATATATATATATATATATATATATATATATATATATATATATATATTACCAGTTGTTATACATTTTATTAATCCTTAAGTTTAATACACACATCGTTCCACTGTCCACAACTTATAATATGAATATGCTTAAAATAGAATGTGTAGTCAGATATTTTCACTTTCTTATTGAACAAGTTTTCAGTCATCATCATCATCTTCTGATCGGTCAATGAATGAGTGAAGAAGGGGATTGGGCGCGATACTCAAGGAAAGTCTGTCTTATTGTTTTTTATTGGTTCACGTGTAAATTCAGGCATTGATTACTGATTCAACTGATCACATAGTACACGATATAGATTAGGAAATCTTAAACTTTAGCTCTTTCTTGAAATATACACAAACATGACATCTATAAAATTAGTTGATAGCTAGTAATCAATGTCAATATTTCACTGAAATTATAAATTTAAATTAACAAGTTTAAGTTTGAAAATGATAAATTCAAAATGACAATAGTGTTTATCCAAGTTGAGTTTTGAAAAACCGGTTGTTTAGATAATATATATAAACGGCTAACAATGTTAATTAACCGACAGCTATTTATATATTAGTGACCCTATCCCAAAATTAAAGTTTATGAAAATCTTTTCAGTTCACACGTACACTACTTGGTTTTGTACTAAATAGATTTATTCAACAGTAAATAATAAAGCTAACCAATATAATTAGCATAAATAAGAATTTTAATTTTTTTTAAAATAAAAGGAAAATATCTATTTTGAAAATTATTTACAGAAATTACATTTGATTAGTTATAATGTAAGAATTCGAATTAACGATTGAAATTATTCGACGTTTAACTAGTAAATCTCAAAATCATGAATCGATCAATCGTAGAAGAGTGTTAGAAACCCGGAAGCACTGGATAATTGTTTCGTCCCAGAAGGAGACTCATCAGCCGTGCGCTTCCACGATCCCCGCACATGGAAGTTGAAACCAGGACCTTCGGTTTTGCGCACGAACGCTTAACCTCCTGACCAGCGAACCGATATCCAATGGTGGTAACGTCTAACATGACTCAATCCAAGCAACCTCACCCATGATCTTCAGTTGGTAACTACCACACGCGAGAGGGTTGAAATCTTATATTAAGTACTAGTTTCACCTATTAGATTTAAACAGTTAAGTGATGGTATTCTTTATTTATTTTCTAAGTTATATTAGCTCTGAAAAATGTTGATTATAACATTGTTTAAATTGATATAATCAAAACAATCAACTGTTTAAATCAATATGATATAAATGTATCCTCGGTATATTAGACGCTACTTACAACGTGGTATATGAGTAGTATACAGCAGAGAGTCACTTAGGAGTTACTACAGAAGAGAAGCGTCTGTAGACCAAAATATATAGAGTGATCAGACTGTACTGAGGACCAAGAGACATGTGAGAGAAAACAGTAAGAAGCCTATTTGCATTTTAAATGGATGTTTGAAAATTCGGTGAACATACTGTGTGAATAAAGTGTCTTCTCTAGGATACAAATTACTTCTGACTTCAACTTTTTCGTACCTTACATCGGTATGGAGAACGATAGCTAATTTTTCTTAGAGGAGTAATCAGTTAAAACTAATACGGTGTTTTCTGAGTAAAAAGTTACTGTTATCAGTGTATGTTTGGCACACTTATAGCCTAACTTTTAAATATATATTTGAATAGATTTCGAGATCACAATACAGACTGTCACAAGATACAACTCACATAATACAAGATGCTTCTTCAATGAATTTTTCATATCAATGAAAAGAGTGAATAAACTTTAAAAATAAGCTAGTGTATATTAACAGTCTTAATTAACCAGTCTAACAGATCAAGCTTTAAAGTTTGAACTGATGATGTCTAACATAGTTGATGATCAGTTCTCATTATTCTCAAAAGTACATCAAAAGTACATCATCATGTTTGATGATGACAAACAAGAAAGTAAACCGCACATTTTCTAGAAGGTCATCAATAAAATCATGATCAATTAACGTAATATCGTTTACTTTGTGTTCACATGTAATAAACATTTGTCAAGACGATAATAAGTAGTAAAGATACTTCTTTGGCACAAATCTATTCCGTTAGATATAAAAATTGTTAGTATGGATTACGTTTAACCGTACTGAAGCAACTATCGGCAGATAAAGATAAAATCATCAATCAATCATTGTTAGACCACCATTAGAAACTTGGAAGCACTCGACGACCATTTCGTCCTGGTATTGAACTCATCAGCAGTGCGCATCCACAACTCCTGCTGATTGGTGCAACAAACACTAATCTTTATAACTCTAATTGAAAAAAAACTGAAATCGATGAGCCTAAAGAAAACTAGCTTAAATTTTTAAAGAACCAATGTTTTTCATGCATTTTACGTAATCTAAGCAGAGAGACACGATGATCAACCATAGTATATGATACGATTCATTAACAATTAAGCCATGATATGCATAAAATAGAGTCTATTTTGAAAAACGTATACTACAATGATTTCTTATCAGAATGATTGGAAAAAATACTTCAAAACATGATTATTATTGATTTCATTTATCAGGATGTCGCATCCGACGGACGACATTCGACTGATTAATATTCTTTCTTACAAACACTTTGATTATAATCAATGTTACACATTTTTGAAACCATGAATCGATCAATGTTAGACCACCATTAGAAACCTGGAAGCGCTCGACGGCCGTTTCGTCCTGGTATGGGACTCCTCAGCAGTGCGCATCCACGACTTCTAGTGGGAAGACGTGGCCAGTGAAGTTCAACCTGTTCGGGTGAAGGCAGTGTCTACCGAAGACTGTGTATGAGGTTGCGCAACTCCGTGAATTTGATCAAGTTAGACATTAACACTGTTGGATGCCGGCTCAGTGGTCTAACGGCTAGGGTGTTCGCGCAGAATACCGAAGGTCCTAGGTTCGAATCCTGTGGGGTGCAGGAGTCGTGGATGTGCACTGCTGATGAGTCCCATACCAGGAGGAAACGGCCGTCCAGTGCATCGAGGTTACTAATGGTGGTCTAACATTGATGGATTCATGGTTTCAAAAATGTGTAACTTAACAATCTTCACAACCCCGTAATATAATCAATATCTTAATGAAAGTAATTATGACTCATGTTTGTTTAAACAATACGATATATAAATAAATATCAGTATTAAGTATAATAAATAATAAAATAATTTAATTGAAATTTTATTTTATTTTATCTTATTTATTTTCATCTTTAAGTGATGATTAAAACAAATTATAATAATTCAATTGTTTTAATATTGAACTTACGATTATTATAATCATGACCACGTTCTGGACATGGTTCAGTGAATGTTAAACCTTGTATTAGTGCACCATCATTGTATACCACTGAAAAAGAAAAAATTAATTTATTAATTTATTAAATAATTGTTAATCACAAAAAAAATAAAATATCAAAATTATGTAACAAGATAATTGAACGTTGAATATTTTTCATCGTGGTGCGCGCTACTTATAAGTAGTATATTACGCGAGTAAAAACGTAATGTCTGGCAGCAGAAGATGAGGGAAGATCAAGAAAGGAAGAAGAGCGGGAACACAACGGAATTTGTACGAAACGCATGAACAGTGAAATGTCAGACAATGGATTGATGTTTTGCAACAGGAACAGACAGTCCAGTTCGACATGATGGATTGATATTTTGCAAATTAACGATTTACAATATGGTTTTGAGATAAATACAATTCGGTTGCCCTCACCTGTGTTCTCCTTCACTACAATATGACACAATTAAATTAGTTACTTATTTATCTCTTCGCGTGGTCTCTTCACGCGTTATATAATATGCTTCTATTATTATTATTATTATTATTATTATTGTTTAATTATATTTGATTAAATAAACAATTTTGTATTGTATTAAGTCTTACCGTTTATTTACCTAAGAAAAATTTCAAAAATAAATTTATTATGATAACAATTTTTTATTTATAAACAAATGAAAAATGTTATAACTGACATGTTCGCATAAACATTAAAAACAGTTGGCATACACTTTTAAACAATAAATATCACGTTATATTTAAGTGTTGATTAACACGAAATAATTTATGTATTAACTGATTAGATTGTCTTCAATGAACCCATTGAAATCTTTAATTCTGTCAAATACAAAAAAATTGATCAGTGAGCAAAAAAGATAAAACGCTCAATATTCAATGATACGTAATAGAACTAGATTATTTTCAATTAGAGTTATGGAGATTAGTGTTTTTACACATTTGAAATCATAAATCAATCATTGTTAGATCACCATTAGAAACTTGGAAGCACTGGGCGGCTGTTTCGTCCTATCATGGGAATAATCAGCAATGCGTATCCACGACTCCTGATACTTGCAAGTTCCAAACCCAGGACCCTTACTGCCTACACCCGACAGGGTTGAACTCCATTGGTCACGTCTTCTCAACTAGAACTCTGAGAATTTTCACACGAAGCTAGTCACTAGTGAGCACATTTTACGATATTTTCAATTAGAGTTAGACATTAACACCGTTGTAAACCAGCCCAAAGTAGGCAGTAACTACCAAAGACAAATGGATGAGGTCGCGCAAAATCCGTAGATCAATCAGAGTTAGACATGTCAACCGTTGGATGCCTTCACATTGGTCCAATGGTTAGGCGTTCTCTCACAATACAAAACTAGATTACCTGACCCATTTGTCTTTGGTAGTTACTGCCTACACCCGACAGGGTTGAACTCCATTGGTCACGCTTTCTCAACTAGAACTCTGAGAATTTCCACACGAAGCTAGTCACTAGTGAGCACTGTTACGAAATTTTGGGGCAGAGTTTTGGAGGTTTGTGTTTTTTTACATTTGAGGTCGCGCAAAATCCCTAGATCAATCAGAGTTAGACATTAACATCGTTGGATGCCGGCCCAGTGGTCCAATGGTTAGGCGTTCGCGCACAATACCGAAGGTCCCGGGTTCGAACCCTGCGATAGCAGAAGTCGCAGATGCGCACTGCTAATGAGTCCCATACCAAGACGAAACGGCCGTCCAGTTCTTCCTTGTTTCTAATGGTGGTCTAACAATGATTGATTGATGATTTCAAATGTGAAAAAACACAAACGTCAAAAACTGTGCCCCATAAAGTTTAAATATACTAAATTATACTTTATTGTTAAATAATCAAATTTTTTTCCATTTTATAAATACTTTTATATACGATTTTATATGAGTCAACGACCTATGCTCCATTAGGAGCTAATAGGCATAAGTAAGTAAGTAGTTTTAACCACTAGAATACAAACAAAATAGACAAGTTATTTTGCATAGATTATTGAAAATTGGATTGAATTGACATAAAAATGGATAGTGTTATATCAATTCTGTCTATGTTGAACTGGTTATTATTAAAATTATAATCTGTCACTTAAACTATTTGAAATAATTAGAAAATTAATGATTCTTGTTACACTAAATACCATTTATTTGTTTGTTCATTTTATGATTCCACTTGTACAAATTGTACATTGAATTAAGTCAGTAAACACAATTGATCATACTTAACAGTCATTGAACATTTAACCTACAAAAAATATATTGTAAAGTGAGATGATAAGCATTTGAAATAATAGTTACACATATATCGGTAATATAATAATACTACATTATAAATAAGAAAGAAGTCATGAGACTATTGATATAACATATCGTTTACAAAAAAGTATTATATTGAAAAGAAATCAACAAATGTATACCTATACATATACATATATTGATTGACAAATTGAATAAATTCACTTACAATATCCTTTTGTTTGTCTTGTTAATATTAAAATTAACAATAAAGATGAAATGAACCGATGAACTATTGATAAGATTGCAAATTCTTGATTAATAGATAACGTAGTTTTGTATCGCATTGTTATTGTATCTTAGTGTAGTTCAATGATGAATATAAACAATATTGTTTTTGAACAAGATTTCAAATTAAAAAACTAATAATGTGAGTAGGTAGGTATTGTTTTTCTGAATGTTATGATAACCTTGATCCTTTAAAATATATATTTATATGTATATTTATATATATTCGAGTCTCAGCTATATAATAAGTTGACAAGACCACACATTGGCTAAAGCCACACATCCCAACGTCATAATAAAAAAATTGTGGGTGTGGACTATGAAAAAATTGACCAATCAAATTACAAGTTTCTGCAGATTGAACTTTCAACTAACATATATATATATATATATATATATATATATATATATATATATATATCTATGAACATACAAAAAAGTATATAAGAAATACAAAATAAGTGTAAAAAAACACTTTTCGAACTATATTTTTCGACTTTTATCACATAGTTAGTTTTACAGTAAGAATTTCATCAGTATTAAAATAAAGATGTGTGTGGAGAGGGAGAGAGAGAGAGATAAATATATTAGTGTTATTTTGATGTGATTAGTTTAATCTGATTTTTGATAATCAAAGGCTAAATAAATTACTATTTTCATAAATAAACAATGTTGTCGAATTAATAATTTTTTTTAAAAACATTGAAAAAAAATATTCAGTTATTCGAAAATGTTTATTAAGAACTTGTCTACATAGTAATTTTATGGTGGTATTTCGTTCTCTGAGCTGGATATTTTGGTTGTGTTGAGCTTTCATTGTTCTTCTGAACAACATCATCAGCACAAACTTCAGAAAGCTCCATAACCAAAGCATCCAGCTCAGTGAACGAAACACCACAACAATCATTCACCTGAGCTCCAAATTTTCTACACCATCTCAGCATTAGAATTTTATGCCACACACGTTACCTACAAAAATCTATCCAATCACTGAAAAGGAACTCATTTTCATGAGTACAGTGAAGAAGATATCCTTTACCGTGTTGAGGAAGTTCGGTCCCCGAAACTCACTGGGAAAACGTCCTAATTTCAGTTCTTTTACGTTTTCGCGCATAAGCTTCTTAGTTGACCATGAGATTACATTTCCCACTCGGAAGACCCTTGACTTTCATTGGTTGATGGATTATTTAAGTACGCTCTTCCAAGGACGTTTCTATCATGTATAAATAAACTCGATTTATGTGCTTGTGAACCCCATACTTTCTAGGTGCTTGTAGAATACATTTTCTACGCCTTATTAAAATTTCTTGATATAGTTAGCCAGGCCGGAGGCAAACGGATTAGAATAGCCTATCGTGTCACTGGGTGATTTGTCTTCGCTCTTGTATACCGAGTAAGGTGAATTCGTAATAGTTTCAAGCATATCAATTGATGAGCATGTCATAACGGAATGCTTAATAAGAGGTATACCAAGAAACGTATTTAAGCCTGCATCTCAAACATAACCTGGCAGTTCATTTTTTTATATTTGGTTTTAAACGTGATGAATTAATATAGTTATAGACTGGATTCCGTATTGAACTGATTAAATGATAACAAGAGAAGTCTTAGTGCGATACGAAATAAAAGTTCCGATGTATTTTCTACGGAGATAATGTAATCCGAGTACTTACTTAGTTACACCTGTTACCTCTAATGGAACATAGGAAGCCGACCAACATTCCTAAGCCTACTCTGTCCTGAGCCTTCCTTTACAGTTCTACCTAAATGCTATTCGTACTTTTCATGTCTGTCTCTAATTTACATCTGCATCAGATCCGCCTTGTTTAACTATGATGCGGCCCAGAAATGTGAAATTTCCACATCTCTCAAAGCTTCTCTACCAAGTTCGGTTCGGTTGGTGCATGCTGTGTTATATCGGAGAACCTTGGTTTTCCCCTTGTGTATGTAGAGACGTACTGTTTCAAAGGCTACCGCGACAATAATCGTCTTCTCCTGCATTTGTTTTTGCGTGTGCGATAGAAGAGGCAGATCATCTGCGAAGTTTAAGTCGTCCAGGTGCATCCTATCTGTTCACAGTATCCCGTGCTTCCCTGAGCTATTGAGGTCTTGATAATCCAGTCGATGACCAGCAGAAAGAAAAAGGGTGAGTGTATCCAACCTTACCTGACACCGATCTTCACTTCGAATGAGTTAATATAATCAGATAGGTGTAACTATACACCGTGCTAAATGCTCGTGATTGTAATGTTAAATGTCAGTTCATCTAAAAAAATTCCTGTTATCCACTTTCAATGACAACACGATTTCAAGTTTACGATCTGTGGATTAGACGTAGATTAGATGTAATCACAGTTATCAAGGCATAACAAGAAAGCCTCACGATACGACTATTGGATCTGATGTTATCTTTATAAAGTTTCTCTGAGAAAACTTGGAAATTTCAAGTTCTGCTGTTTTTTAAGGTCACAGAGGCCCATTACTAAAGAGTTTCTAACTAAGACAAAACAACTGTTCATTTCTCTTTATATTTCAGTATTTGGTCTATTAATGTTTTGTTTACAATGAAAACTACCATTGAACTCATTTCTTTCTATACTAATCCATCGATACATAATAATGAGTATCATTTTTTTCCAAAAAAAATATAAATAATTAATCCCAAATAAGAGTATAAGTTTTATTGGAAATTACATTCCGGACTGTAACTTTCACTTCACTTTCCTTGCTATCCAACAAGTTGAAATACACTACAGTAGTTCATTCACAAAATCACATATATAGATTAGTGTTGGGGATGTTAGATCCCCAGAACTCACTTGATAAATGCCCTATTTTGGATTTTACGTTGAGAGCATGGGCTGACCAGTTGACCTTGAGATTTCATTTCCCACCAGCAAAATCATTGGCTGTGATTGGCTGCTGTGTATTTTAGTGTGCTATTTTCGTAACTGTTCCAAGGACGTTTCTATGATGTATGAATAAACGAGAGTTGTGTGCTTGATTGTATTGTGATTGCTGGGTGTTTGTAGAATATACTTTCTACGCTATATCAAGACTTTTCTTTAGCCGTTTTGGGATCAATGTAGCCTATTTGGACGCTGGTTCATTGTCTCGTTCTCGTTTATCAACTAAGGTGAACCCGTAATAGCTTCAAGCGTACCTAGTGACGAACATATCAATTCGTACAAATAATTTATCCTTATCAAAGAAAATGAATTACATACGAAATTGGCTTAACTATATTCATAGTTAAGAAATACGGAGAATCGATTAAAGTCAGACATTAATACCATTGGATGACAGTTCGGTGGTCTAGAGGTTAAGCTTTAGCGCGCATCGCCGAAGATCCTGGATTCGATTCCCACTTGTATGGTGATGGTTTTTCACCAGTAATGAGTCTCTCTTGTACTTGTGGGTTTCTACTGATGCTCTAACATTGATCGATTTCAATGAAACGCAATACTCTCCATAACTCTATAATAACAATGAAATTCTGTATTTTGTAAACACATTGTTTATCATCTCATTATAGTACAATTATAATTAATGTTTACGTTAAAGCAAGGGCTGCATTTTTACAATTGAAAAATATCTGGAACTCCAAACAAATGTCATTCAACACCTAAATCAGGATTTTCAAAACTAATATCAAGACAGTTCTACCGTATGAGGCGGATACTTGGAGAACTACGAAAGCCATCATCCAGAAGATACAAGTATTTATGAACAGTTGTCTACGCAAAATACTTCGGATTCGTTGGCCAGACACGATCAGCAACAACGTACTTTGGGAGAGAACAAACCAGATTACAGTGGAGGAGGGAATCAGGAAGAAGCGGTGAAAGTGGATAGGACACACATTGAAGAAAGCACTGAAATGCATCATAAGACAAGCTCTCACTTGGAACCCTCAAGATAAAAGGAAAAGTGGAAGTCCGAGAAACACATTACGGCGAGAAATAAAGGAAGATATGAGAAGAATGGACAAAAATTGGACAGAACTGGAAAGAGAAGCCCAGGATAGAGTTGGTTGGAGACAACTGGTGGGTGACTTATGCTCCATTGGGGGTAACAGGCGTAAGTAAGTATAATTGATGTATAAAATTTAACTTAATCTACAGTTGATCACCTCATAAAGTTGACAAATATGAAACAGATAGTTATGCATTTTAAAGCAATGAAAAATATTTACATTACAATTATAAATCATAAGCTAAAATAAAATTTGACTATAGAAAGAGTCTAGGTTATTTACACAAATATAAAAAAAAATATTATTGAACAAATAAATTTTATTGGTAATATTTAACACATTTAACATCTATTGGTCATTGAACCTAAGAAAAATCCCAACAACAACAACCCTTGTTACCTTGTTTATTCAAATAAACAAAATATAGAATCAATAACATTGAACAGATCATAATGTTGATTTAAAAATTTTATCAGACTAAATGTACTACTATGTGTCGTCTATAGACTGTGTTAAGCGAATTAATCAACAATATAACGATGAATGAGGTGAAATAAATAAATTCAATTTAAGGAGACAGAGAGAGAGAGAAAAGAAAGCACACACCTTCAGTGGCATGTAAAGGTTATAGCGATTGATTTACATTGAAAAATAAAAAGTTGAAGTATTGAACACAAAGTAATCTGAAGAGAATTTGTTTGTTCTTTATATTTGTTTACAAAGATAAGAAGAAAGTGAGTACAATTATGAATAGCAAAGAAGAAGTATGAATTTAATATATTTACTTATTTATTTATTATTAAATAATGTGTTACGTCAAGAATAATACTGATATCTAGCTACTTAAATAAAAATTAACTGTTTTGCATTGAAATCATAAAATCAATCATTGTTAAACTACCAGTCGTGTCGTTTTAGTATGGGACTCTTGAGCAGTGCAAGATCTCAATAAAAAACAATAATCTCGATATCTCTATGATGTAAATTCATAAAATGTGCTTAGTTGTAACTAGCTTCGTAAGGAACTTTTCGAAGTCTAGTGATAAGCATGTGAACAGTGGAGTTCGACCCTGTCGGGTGTAGTCAGTAACTGCCGAAGACATATGGATGAGGTCACGTAGAATCCCTACATCGATCAAAGTTAGGTATTAACACTGTTGGTTGGTGGGGCAGTGGTGTAGAGGTTAGGCGTTCG